GATTCGGAAGTAGTTTGTCACTCTTTCTTCCTAGTCTGTCTTTGTTTTGTAGCTCATCTGAAACCTGTCCACCATGGATGACCCTGCTGGTTATTTAAAACACCAGTGGCAAAGCCCTCAGAATCACAGCAACTCAAACCGCCACAGCACGACAGACAGATGAGTGGTGGCCATTTGGTTTTATGTCTATACTGTCTCTTTAAATTTCTATGTCAATCTTGATACAATACTGATATAATGAAGATACAATCAAGATGTTCTCTCCTAATCCTATCAATCCTGATACAATCAAGATAATCTTTCCCAAGATGGTGGCTCCTGGAACAGCTGAGTGTCTTGATCCAGAAAATAATGGATTTCTGGATTATCCTGCAAATTCCCCAGCTACAAACCGTCCGAACCTCCAAACATACCTTTATATTAGTTACAGAGTTCCAACACCATCTCATGAGTCCTCAATATGGAGAGAGAATACAAAAGGAGAACCTTTATAAAAATAGATAGTATTTTTTATAGCTTGTTGCTGTTGATATATGCTGTTGAGTCAGTTTGAACTCACAGTGACCCTGTACAGAGTTTCTGAGGAGCAGCTGGTGAGTTTGAACTGCGTGCGGGTCAATCTGACCTTATGGTCAGTGCTTATCCAACAGCGCTACACCAGGACTCATCTACATGCTTTACAGAACCACAAGAAAGATGTTCTCTGGATGTCTTTCAATTGGACTCAAATGAGATTATTTCTACAAGCAATATTCAATTTAGTTGAATTACACAAAAGAAGAAATTTGCCGAAGAAGATCTGAGAGAGTCTAACTTACTAATTTTATAAATAGCTTCAGTATGTAGTACATACTTAAAAATGACATTAACATAACAGGGCATTAAAAACTAATTAAATGAACTGAACTACTTCAAGCAATCTAAAAACCCAAAAAGAAAAGAAACAGTAGTAGTGATATTCAATGACTGTTTTCATTCTCAAACACATGATTTAATATCTAGACTTGGAGTTAGTACTCCTGACACAAACTAGCAGTACCTTATTGTAGTTGTGAATTGCTGTCTAACGATTTGCTTCCAAATCATAGCAACCTTATGTACAAAGAATGGAACATTGCCTGGTCCTGTGTTACCCTCAATCACTGCAATGTTAGAGTCCATTCTTACAGCCACTGTGTCAATCCATCTCATGTATGGTCTTCCTTTTTTTGACTGCCCTCCAATTTACCAAACATGTTATCCTTCTCCAGGGACTAGTCCATCTTAATATCATGTCCAAAGTACCTGAGCCAAAGTTTCACCATTCTCTTTTCTAAGGCACATGCAAGGCTGTACTTCTAAGAGAATACTCAGTTACTTCAAACAGACAAGAAATCAAGAAGCAATCCCAAGAATACTTGGCATTTAATTTACTGAAAAATAAAATGTATCCATTAATCTTCACATTAGAAGTAAAAAGATGTGTTTGATATAATTGCTATTGTTGGTAAATGCCGTCAAGTCGATTCCAACTCATTATGACCCTGTATAGGGTTTCCCAGGAGTGAGTTTGAAGTGCAGTTCTTGTAGTATAGTTTAAGAAAATTATAACAAGAGACCTAATGTAAAATATATTTACATTCTAAGGAGACATGACTATTACATATTTCCAGAGAGCACTGCTATCTAGAAGAAAATAAATAAATGTTTAAAGTTAAATCACATAAAAGCACTTTAAGCCTCAAGATTTGATGAGCTTTTTCCTCAGTACTTACAGACCTTCTTTACATATTTAAAGGAGTCTTAAAGGAGTCTCAATGGAATGTTGCTGAGATTTTGGGTATGCCTGTGCATGTGTGTGCTTAATAATGCTTTTAGCTCACTGGAAAGAAAGAAGGGAGCAAGGAAAGGGGGGTGGGAAGGAAAATTTATCAGGATGTAAATCCCAAAGTAGTTATATGAGTACAGACAGCAGTTGCTAATACCAGCATGGACAACGAATTATTAATCTCCCACAAAACAATGGATTTTTAATTAACATAATTCTCAAACTCAAACAATTTGGCTTATTATGAGATTGAGACCTTCCAATCTCGGGCTTAATGATGGCAATAGTAGTTTGATTGGTCTTTCCTCACAGGGCAGAACTATGGAGTCTATTCAGCCGTTTGTATGTATTTTATAAAATCCTTTCTTGAGAAAATAAAAACCATGCCATCCTTTGTGCATCTCTATGTGGATCCCTAAAATCCCAGACCAGGAGCCACTGCCATGAAACAGCAAACTATATTCTCAAAGTCTGGGAGGTGGGATAGCTCAGAACCCTACAAGTGTAGAGTTCACCAGCTATGATTTACAAATAACCTGGCACCCTAACTTTTCACAGTAAAACTTGTACTTTAAACTGGGGTAGGGGTAGCAGTGGGAGTGGATTGGGAGATGCCTGCTCTCCCCCTGGGTAGAACACAGACAAGGTCCTCATCTGTGAGTCAATGAAAGTATATAATGGTTTCATCTGTATTGTGTTTGTTGGTTTATTGTAAACTTTGAGGAATTTAGAGTTCTAAGAACATAACACTGAAATTGTTATTCTACAATTTATTTGTACTGACCTTTGAAGTTAAATGTGCCCCTGTGTTCTTTTTTCTCTCCAAAGAAACAAGAATAACTTCCCATTTGGTCGCTATTAATGACTGTGAACCTAAAGATAATTCAAATTATTCATTTAAGTCTCAAAAACTTCTTTATGAAAATGAAAAGGCTTGTCCATTAATTAAAAAATTTTAGCACAGGGAAACGATTCTGTAGATAGGCAAATTAGAGCATTTGTATAACATTCAAGTGGATACAGAGAGGCATGCCATGCGAACAGAAATATTAAGACTTTAACTAATTTTTACTAGCCCAACAGGTTACAATTTTTATACTCACTTGTACTGGGTGTACAGGATATCTCCCACTGTATTGTTATTGTTGAGGATATTATTCTCAATTAGTTCATCATCTTTTTTCCAAGTCACATTTAGTGAATGCAGGTCCCCAGATATTGTAAATTGGCACATGAGTTCTATATTAGAAGGCCTTTCTAAAGTGATATTCTTTTCTACTGGTACACTGGAATATTCTAGTAGCCACAAAAGGGGGAGAAAAAAAAAAGTGCATGTTATATAATGGCACAAAGTCCAATATGTAATAAAACAACTTAATTGCCAACAGTAGTGCTCTATCTCAGTTTCTTAATGTAATTGTTTTTATTGCTTGCTTGACGTTATTAGTCTTCTATCAACTTAGATGATTTGGTTCCTTTCATAGATAGTGCTGGAGAAATAGTTGTTATAACATCAAAATCATAAAAGTCTAATACTAAGATCTTTATTTCCTTAAATCTCTATAGCTTAAAGAGTCTAAGAGAAAGAGTACCACGTCTACCCTCTGTTCTGAAAGCGCTATAATAGTACAACTGGAAACACAAAAACATGTAGGGACAGATGGGCTAACTGTTTAGTTGATTTCAGTAATCATCTTATTGTTGGTTACTGAGTATTTACCAGCGTAGTTTCTATGTAGTGCACATGTGTATGCAATAACAATTCTACTGTTCTTACACCTAAGGAACCCATAAGGGTTTTGTGCATTTACAGTTTTAAGACAGAGAATTTAAATATACATCTGTAATCCTGAACCTTGGAGTCCTGGTGTGGCACTATGGGTTAATGATCCAGACTGCAAAGTTGTTTTGAACCATAAGGTCAGGGATTCAAGCTCACCAGTCACTCCTCAGAAACACTATACAGGGTTGCTATTGCTATGAGTCAGAACTGACTCAATGGCACTTCACAACAACAACAATCCTGAATTTGAAAATGAGGTTTAAACATCAGTATGGAATCCTGAAATGTTTAACCTCTGCCCCACTCATCATAAAAAGATATGCATGCAAAGTTAACCATGCACGGAAGATGCATACTGCTAACTTTTTGTTGTTGTTGTTGTTTTTTAAAGAAAAGAAAAAGTACCAAGCATGTTCTTTTTCCTGGTGTAGCACCGGATTGCTAACTGCAAGGACAGAAACACTTTTCAGGGTCGCTATGCGTTGAAATTGACTTTTAACAAACACCACCACCAAATAATAGAAGAGGAAATTTTTCTCTTTATATAAGAAAAGTAGCAAGTAAGTGAAGACAAAATCATAAAAATATATTAAAATATTACAATCCCCAATGCATCAGTGGATTGAGGCATTTTGCATCACCAGCTACAAAAATCTCAAAAAGAGAATTATGTGTTTCTGGGAAAAATGAGTACCCAGTTATTTTTCCTATACATAGAAAATCTTGTCAAAAGAAAAAGGGTAAGGAACTGAAACTGATCAAGTCTATAGATGCAATTACCACTTTTCAGGAATTACAGAGTATGGAAGAAGAATAACTTGTTCAAACTATACCCCAAGAAGGTAGGTATCAGCAAAATCCAGGCTGTGAGGAAACTACAAGATGAATGAGCCAATTTTTCCAACAACAAAATTAAAAAAGGAAAGAAAATGATATATTTGGAAAATCTAAAGCCAGTCAAAATATATGTTGAAAATATGCCTTTAAAATAAAACAAAATTGAACTATTTAGTTCAAGGATATTGAGAAATTAAGACAACATGAAAATGACTACCACACAAAGCAGAATAGCAGTTAGAGTGACTTGTAGGGAAAAGAGGCAGCATAATATAAACAAATTTCTAAAGATCTTATAGCAACAGTCAATAATGGAGCAAAAACCAAATCCCATTGCTGTCAAGTTGATTCTGATTCAGAGAGACCTTAGACGACAAAGCAGAACTGCTCTTCAGGGTAGCCAAAGCTGTCTAGCACTCTGCTACTGTGCAACCAGGGCTTCTGTAATAATGACATAAACCAAGTCAAACCCATGTCCATCTTGCCAATTCCAACTCATATCAGCCTTACAGAACAAAGTAGAAATAACTCAGAGTTTTCAACACTGTAAATCTTTACAGAAGGGGACTGTCACAGTTTTCTTACTCTGAGAGGCTGGTGGGTTTGTACTGCTAACATCTCAGTTAGCATTCAAGCTCCTACTCACTGTATGGCCAGGGTTCTTTAATAATGGCATGTTGTTGTTCTGTGCCATCAAGTCAGTTTTGACTGATAGTGACTCTGAATAGGGTTTCTGTGAGTGGCTGCTGGGTTGAACTGTTGACCTTGGAGTTAACAGTCCAGTGCTTATCATGCAGTACCAAATCAGGGCCTCTATTAATAGTAATAATGGCATAGGGCAGTGGAACTAAAATGAAAAAGATTTTTAAGTTTTAACTTAAATAAAATACATAAAATTACTTTGAATTACATTTAAAACTTTACAGAAATGCTTTCTTAAGCAATGACCAGGTGCAAAGTATGCAAACAGTGAAGTACAGTTAGTGTGAAGTGCTTTGTGAGCACCGGCTTGAAATAACTGCTTGTGTAATTCAAAAATTGCTGAATTGAATTCTATGCTCACAAAGAAAAAAATAAACACAATAGGTATAAGAAGACCTTAACAAGACTCAATGATACAGAAGGAGAAATTGAGTCACTATATGCCAATAATTGTGGTCGGTACTAACAGGAGAAAATATTTCAAGGTCTAGAGTATTTGGTACAGAGATTTGTTTGTCTGTAGATTGTCTCCATTTCATCTTTAGATCTGGGGCACTGTTGTTGATGTTGTTGTTACGTGCCATCGAGTCAGTTCCGATCCATAGCAACTCTCTATAGGGTTTCTGAGAATACCTGGTGAGCTTGAACCACCAACCTTGCCATACAATCAGCTTTGCAATCTGGCGCATTAACCCACAGCACCACACCAGGACGTGTTGATGTTGTTGTTGTTAGGTGCCATTGAGTCGGCACCGACTCATAGTGACCTTCTGCACAGCAGAATGAAACACTGCCCTATCTTGTTGATGTTGGTGGTGGTTATGTGCTGTGGAGTCGGTTCCGACTCATAGCAACCCTGTACCGGGTTTCCAAAGCTGCAAATCTTTACGAGAGCAGAAAGCCTCATCTTTCTCCCATGGAACAGCTGGTAGTTTCAAACTACTGACCTTGTGGATTGCAGCCCGATTCATAACTACTATGCTACCAGAGCTCCTTCTTGATGTTAGGTGCTGTCAAATCAGTTCTGACTCATAGAAACCCTATCACAACATAATGAAGCACTGCCTGGTCTTCTGACATGTTCACAATTGTCATGTTTGAGCCCCTTGCTGCTGCTGCCACTGTGTTAACCCATCTTGTTGGAGTAATTCCTCGTTTTTGCTGACCCTCCACTTTACCAAGCATGATGGCTGCTCCAGAGACTGATTTCGCTTTACAGCATGTCCTAAGTATGAGAACCAAAGTTTAACCATCCTGGCTTCTAAAAAGCATTCTGGTTGTACTTATTCTGACACAGATTTCTTTGTTCTTCTGGCATTCCATGGTACTTTCAATATTCTTCACCAAGACCATAATTTAAACACATCAATTCTTCTATGTCTTCCTTTTATATTATCCTACTTTCACACGCATATGAAGTGATTGAAAATACTTGGGTCAAGAGGTCCTTACTATATGGTACCATGAATTTACTTGAAATGACTTTTCAATTCCAAAGTCTTCTTAACTCCCATCAAAAGATTGGGTGTGACCATGAAAATAGAATGCACAGGACTCTAAATGCCCAGATTAGTTAGTTTTGGCATCTCGCTAAGTTTAAAAGAAGCCATCTCAGAAGCAAGAATGGAGGATCTCAGGACCATCAAAAAGAGCCATGAGCAAAGCTTGCAATCCCTACCTGGAAAAGCGATGGCAATGGCAGAGGTAGGTAGAAACAAAACAGCTTCAGCATTACCGGTCCATGGAACAAGTAAAGCTGAATACTTACAGGCAGGAAGCTGGCCTGTCGAACGTGCACTTTGGTCATTTACAAACTGGTTGAAGAAACTTTGTAACATTTGCCTGAGCAAGGCAGAGGCTAAAGGGCCACATGGCTGAGAGGCTAAAGACAAGAGGGAGGCATGTATACAGTATGTCAGAGAAGAGGCATTCCTAACTGAAGAACTCCTGAATCCTAGTTGTTTATGATCCTAAATGGTACCCTGTTCCTTTCTCTAATAAACCCCACAGCAGTGAGTTATGTCTCTGAGTTCTGTGTGGCCACTGCAAAGGATTATCAAACCCAGATATGAAGCAGACAGTGCTGTGGGAGGAAAGGTGATGTCAGGAAAGGACTAAGAAAGTTGCAGGGTACAGGTATGTCTGATGTCTGCCTCATAGGATCAGCCTTGGGCCAATTATGAGTTTGATTCTCCTTCCCCCTTGTAAAGCCAGAGAAAATCAGACATGATCTCCCTGACATTTTTGCAAATATCCTTAACTTGCTCAATTTTATATCTCTTCCAAACACTTTATCCCTTTTTTTAACTCAATAGCAAACTTCTTGAAAGAATCACAAACAGTTTTTATCTTCACAATCAATGATGCTTCAATCCAACCAATCGTAATTGCTTAAGCCACCACATTACAGAAACTGTGTTCTCTTGGGTTTGTTTTTGTTGTTGTTGGTGGTGGTGGTCATGAGCTGTGGAGTCAGAACCAACTCATAGCAACCCTGTACAGGGTTTCTGAGGCTGTAAATCTTTACGGTAGCAGAAAGCCTCATCTTTCTCCCGCAGAACAGCTGGTAGTTTTGAACTGCTGACCTTGCAGTTTGCAGCCCAATTCATAACCACTACACTATTTGTTGTTGTTAAGAGCCATCAAGTCAGTTCTGACTTATAGCAACCCTGGATAGGATTTCCAAGGCTATAAGAAGCAGAATGCCTCATCCTTCTCTGACAGTCTCTTGGGTTTAAAATTACCTAATTTGTGAAGGAGTCTTGGTGTGGCACTGTAGCTGGTGTGGCAAAACCACTAAAGCACTGGACCATAAGGTCAGATTGAACCACAAGGTCAGCTGTTAAACCCCACCCCACCCCCCAGGCATTATACAGGATCTCTAAGAGTCAGAACCAACTCAAAGGGACGTAATAACAATTTCTTAAACTAAAAACATCCCCTGAAGCATTCTTAAAACCAAACAATAGATTATTAACTAGTACAGAATGTCTGCCTAGAACAAAAATAATTAAGCTAGAATAACTAAAATGGGGCTACAACGTGCCCAGTGAAGGAGGCTTCATGCGGAGCCTCTGCAATACATGACTATAGGCAGAAGCCTGAACCACATCCAGATCTCCAGAGATGGGAAACTTCCACTTGAAAGGACAAACAGACCAGCCTGGAGCAGCTAGAAAAACAGAAGATACTTCTTGAAAGAAAGACCTACAGGAAAAATACAAAACAATATAGGCAGACCGACTGTTAGTACAAGAACAAGCAA